CTGCGGTGGCGAGCGGCAGAGATCTCAGGGTGCGGCCCGACCGCTGTAGAAGGGCTCGGGAAGAAGGTTAGTGTGCAGGGGAGCGGAGGGTGGCTGGTGTTAGGCCTAGTCCACTTCTGAAAGCGCTGGCGTAGGCTGCGCTCTCCCACGCTGTGCGTGGCTTGGCTGAGGCCGCGGGGCAGGCTGGCGGGCGGCTACTGTGCGCAGCTGTGGGGCTGCCCGCGAACGACGCGTGAATCCGCCAGCCGTAAACCACTAACTCACTGTAAAACAGCCTTGCTTTTTATAGTTACTTAACAAGAACCAGCTCCAGCTATATTGTGAATCAGTTTGGCCACCTTTGTATTGCTTTTAAATACCTGTTTGTGTATATCTGTAGTTATAAGTATTTTTGTGTATGTATGTGCACATACATGCGTGTGAAATTTCCCATCCTAGAAGCCACATCTGTTTTGGCATGAAATCTCCAGAAGAGATGCGTCAGCAAGCTCACATTCAAGTGGTTAGCAAAAACTTGTATAGTCAGGACAACCATCACTCCCCGCTGCAGTATGGAGTACTTGACCATCGTATGGTGAGAACCATTTTTTTTCCCATACCCTTTTTGTGGGATTACTTGGGGCGATTAAGAATAAATTGGGACAACTGAAGTTTGCTGCTCATCCAAAATCCATGCAAATGTGTCTTGAATTTCACAGCCTGTTAGCTGCAGTGACAGCTACTTTCTTCATGCTTTTGGAGGGTTCAGGAAAGCTTACTTTTGAGGCAGGAGGTTGAGTTCTGTCTGTCAGGTTGTTGAGAGACCCAGAGACATCTATCTACAAGATGCCATATTGTAGATTAGTGGCTGCAGATCAGTTGTAAGAGCTGTATGAGTTAACGTCGCTGGTATCAGTAGGGGCTGTGTGTGAAAGACATCTATTTTCTAAAGGATTGGGGTGAATGTAGTGCTGCTGTCATGCTTCTGGTGCTGGGAAAAAGGAGTAAGCACTGTGGGTATGCTGTCAGGATAGCTGATTAGCTTAAGAACTGTTGTATTTTCTATGTATTCAGTTGATTACAGCTAAAATATTTCTGTGTATGTTCCCCTTCTCCCAAAGGGAACCAGTGAAAAAGACCGTCCCTGTGAAACCTGTGGAAAAAATCTAGCAGATTGTTTAGGACATTATGGGTACATTGACTTAGAACTGCCATGTTTTCATGTTGGATACTTCAAAGCTGTGATAGGCATCTTACAGGTAAACATGATTATGATTTGTTGTCAGTTTCTAGTCTGTAAAGAGGAGGTTATCAGGAAAGATGATGCTTGAAATAGTAATTGAGAAGACCAAAATAAGGTTGTATTATAAAGTTTATCTTTACGTATTTTGTGTTTTGTAAAAGGTATTTAAATACCAGTCTTACTAATGCAAATGCATCTGTTTTGTTTTATGTAATCTCAGACTGATTAATTTTATCCATTATTTTTCTGCAGTGGTTTGAATTAAATGTATGCAATATAACTTGCCTTGTAGGACATCCCAGTAAATCAAGGCTCTGCTTCATATGGATTTTTGAGATCCTGCAGAGCTTAGATGAGGATTTGCCTCATTGACTGTATTTTTCTTTTCCCCATGTACTAGACTATATGAATTGATCTTTCAACCAAGGCAATAGCATTTAATTGAAAAAAAAAATGTACTCTGTTGAAGAACTTATGTTATAGTAAAAGAGGTTATATCTCTGTGTCTGTTAAACAATGGTCTTTATATGTGCTTACGTTTAAGATGATCTGCAAAACCTGTTGCCGTATAATGCTGTCAGTGGAAGAAAAAAAACAATTTTTGGATTACCTAAAGCGACCTGGCCTTACATATCTTCAGAAGAGAGGGCTAAAAAAGAAAGTGTCTGAAAAGTGCCGAAAGAAAAACACTTGTCCTTACTGTGGTGCCTTTAATGGTAAGTGTTGACATTAGCAGTTAGTGAAGTTCTCTGTTGTGATGGATTTTACCTTGGCAGCTGTGATAGCATCAAAATCTTGAACATGGTTGTTGGTTCCACAGCTAATGAGTATTCTCTCTGGCCTTCCTTAAAAATCAGGTAATTGCATTCCTAGTGTCAGGCACTGCTGGTTTGCATCTCATTTCTGTGGGATGTAGACATTGTTCTAGTTGCTTGTTTTGTTTCATGTGGTATCTCCTCCAATATTTGGTACTTGAATAGTGGCAAAAAAAACCCAACCCTGTTTAACATGTTTTTCTTTTAAATATTGGGAACTGTTATCAGAGATCAATATCTTAACACAGAAGGATTTATAGACTTTGTAATTTTGATTGAACTTCGGTTTTCTTCATTGTATTAAATTATCTCTCTTAAGACGTGCTTGTCATCGCCTGGGAGGGTATGTTCTTCAGTTTGGCAGTATTTGGGCTGTGATGATCTTGGGGTACACTGGAATTTCTTCTTCATGGCAGAGTACCTTAAGATTTCACATTTGTTTTCCAAAGTACTTTTTTTTTTTTTTTTCCTTCATGTACGTTGATCAAGTGATACTGCTGTTAAAGGACTTGCAGTGTTACAGATTCATAGTGGGTCATTAATTCAGAACTTAAAACTTCACATTTTTAACTTGTGAAAATTATGGAAGTGTGGGCTAAACCACCTGCTTTCAGCTTCAGAAACTTCATCATAATCAGGCACACCAAGCCAGCCATACAAGGAGACATAACCTGATTGACCTCTTCTTGTCTTGTGAATTTATAAAACTAGTTGTTAAAGCTGATAAAGTTATATTTTATTCTTGTGTTCACTGAAGGTTTAACTAGTTTTGGAACTGTAGCTTGGTTGTTTTAAGTTTTGGGGGATTTTTTTGTTGTTCACTGTTTTTGTTGTTGTTTGGGGGGAAAAAAAAAGGAAACAACCCACAATTATTTGCTTGCAGGAACTGTGAAGAAATGTGGTTTGTTGAAAATAATACATGAAAAGTACAAGACCAATAAGAAAGTCGTAGATCCAATAGTATCTACTTTTCTCCAGTCCTTTGAAACTGCCATAGAACATAACAAAGAAGTAGAACCCTTACTGGGAAGAGCTCAGGTGAATTTTATGATGACTTAAATTTTCTGCTAGTTTTTTTTGTGTGAAATGAAACTCCTCAAAGGTTTTCAGTAGCAGCTTAAGCCTAGTGGTGGTACAAGATTTTCATATACCAAAAGACACTTAAAGAATGTTTGTATTTATTGCAACAATGCTAATGAGAAATTTAGTTTATTGGTATGTTCTGATGTATAGATTTCTGTCTGTAAAGAAAGATGTTCTTGGTGTGTTACGCTTACCTGAGCTAGAAAAGGGAGAAGAAATATAAGCCCATGTAAACTCTGCATGTACATGTAGATTTACTGTAGCTCCAAGATTGTTACAGTACACAGGTTGTTGGGTTTTTTCTTCAGAAGAACTTGAAGTTGAGGAGAGAGGAGACTTAATTAACCTTTTCGTTTCATTCACCGTTGCATTGCGTGCAGTTTTGTTTCCTTTGTTCTTTGCAAGCTGGGAAGATCTCAGGGTACATATTTGGGCAGAGAAAGTAGGGAATGTCTGGAGTTTCTTGTACTACAGCAGTAGCTGTACTAAGAGAGAAATGATTTTTTGAAAAAGTCTAGAAAGTACTGTATTTCATGGGAGTTTGTACTAATAAAATGGATTCGGTGCACTAATTTTGTTGTAAGAGGTTTATTGAGTTGCTTTTCAAATAACTGATATACTCAGTTAACTTGACAAAAGAGAGTAACATAATGAGAAGTAAACACTGATGTATGAGGAAGAGAGGAATGCAATGATACAGCAAGTTAGTATTTGAGACACTAAAAGCGCTGGCTCAGAATAAATCAAAACAGTTTTGTTTACTTGACTAGTTCGTCTTTGTTTTTTAAAAATACTTTATTTTTGAACAATGAGAAAATGAGGGGAGGAGGGAAGCTTTGAAACTGTTACACGATGACATGTTCTCCCCATCCTCCGGTTGGCTTTATAGGAAAACTTGAATCCTTTGGTAGTATTGAACCTCTTCAAAAGAATCCCAGCAGAAGACATTCCTCTGCTTCTAATGAACCCAGAAGCAGGTAAACCTTCAGATCTGATCCTCACGCGACTCTTAGTGCCTCCACTGTGTATCAGACCCTCTGTTGTGAGTGACTTGAAGTCTGGCACCAATGAAGATGACTTGACAATGAAACTAACAGAGATAATTTTCCTCAATGACGTAATAAAAAAGGTGAGTTATCCTTCAAGCTCTTGGAGACTGTTGCCTTTCAAAAGACTTGGTTAGAATTGAATAAAGCAAGTGGTTTTTCTTGTCTTGCTGCTTACAATCTAGCAAGCAGTCTGTGTTGTACTGCTCTGTTGTTTGGCATTTTGTTGAAAGAAACAGAGTTATTTGTTTCAAGTGGAGCTGGCTGACTGGCGGCTTGCAGTATAGGACCTGCTGAAGATCTGCTGGTGGATTATGGGAAACGTTTTTATTCGTTTGAGGTTTTTTTTCTTTTTTTTTTTTATTTTCCCCCTTCCCCTCCCATGCCTATGACCCTTTTTGAGTGGTCACTTACAGTGAAAACATAATACCTATTGGGTTTTTTTTCCATGTAGACCTTCTTCTTTTTAACTGCATCTTTGTCCTTTCTTTATTCTGCCATCTGTACATAAGAAATCAGGTTTCATGGTTATCGAATTAAGACTAGAAAAATATATGACAATTTATCGTTTCTTTAGAAGAACAGCTCCACCAGACGAATATTTTTCAGGCTTTTCAAAACTCTTTTGTCGGGCAAACAAAATCAAGTGAGCACTAACTCTCCTGGGACTGAAAAATTACTGGTGATTTTTCTGTCTGTGAAGTTATATTAGCTTAGCTTCAGTGACTTGGGAAAAATGGAATTTAAACAAACACATAGTTTTGTCAGCATTTGTCCAAAGCCAATGCTGGTCAAAAGAGATTTTTTGCTGGGTGCTCTTGTGAATGGCCGTATGCTATAGCAATATGCATCATGTTACAAAGTTATCTCGCCTGTTTCATTCGTATGTATGAAGATTGTTTTTAACATCTATTTTCAAGAGAAGAGTTGTACATATATCAGACAAATTCTTTGCTAGTTTATTATGTGTTATATTTATTTTCTGAACTGGATGACTATTTTGTTTAGCATAGGATATCGGGAGCAAAAACACAGATGATTATGGAAGACTGGGATTTTCTTCAGCTGCAGTGTGCCCTGTACATTAATAGTGAGCTCTCAGGAATTCCTCTCAACATGGCGCCTAAAAAATGGACCAGAGGTTTTGTTCAGAGGCTTAAGGGAAAGCAAGGTTTGTCTAGAAAGTTGTTTTTAATATTTTTTTTTAATTAAACCACAAATGCTATTCCAAAGCATTTCTCCGCTACTGTTGTGTTGTGCTTCAGTGATGTCCTTTGAAAGATGTTCTAATGTGCTGTCTTAACAAATAACATTTTGAAAACTATTTTTTATAAAAGATTTTTCACTTGCTTATTTTGTTAGGTCGGTTTAGAGGCAATCTGTCTGGAAAGCGAGTAGATTTCTCTGGCAGAACAGTCATTTCACCTGATCCTAACCTAAGAATAGATGAAGTAGCAGTGCCTATTCATGTTGCTAAAATACTAACTTTTCCTGAAAAGGTAAGTAGTGTAGAACTAAAACTTTTTGTATGCCCCCACCCTTTTGTTTTTTACCCCGGACTTCAGTGTTCTCTTTCTTTATAGCCTTGCTATAAAAGGGAGTGAATGTATTGCTTATGTTCAAAATGTCATTCAGCGATGGTTTTCCAGTTCTGTTGCTGATAGTAAATGAAGGTTGTGGTATCAGATATATGCAAGTGCTGTGAAGGCGTCTGGTGTAAGAGAGGAGAGTTTTGCATACTTTTTGAACTTGCAGCTTTATATGATTGTTGGTGTATCTGTCAAAAGAGTGATTGGGTATTTTTATTTCTGAATTTACTTCCCAGATTTTAAATTTAGTTTCACTCTAATATTCTGCTCTAAGTTTGGCTTACATTTTCCTCCTCTATTCCCTCCTGCCTGTTCCCTTCAGAAGTTGGAGGCTGTGAGGGCAATTGTCAATTGAGCCTAAAATTTGAAAACACAAAAAGCCACCACCAAAAACAAGAGGTCCTGAAACTTGTTTCATTTGTTTCTGATTGAAGTCTTTATACGACAGGTGAACAAAGCAAATATTAATTTTATGAGGAAACTTGTCCGTAATGGTCCTGATGTTCATCCTGGAGCCAACTTCATCCAGCAAAGGCACACACAGATGAAAAGGTATCATACTTACCTGTAATGTTTCACTTTTTATTTCTACCCATCAACTTGTTCTTACTGCTGTTTGAAAACTGTTATATCTACAGGGATTAAAACTTATTTTTAGAATCTTTCATAAAGGGCAGTAAGAAAAAAATTGTCATTACCTCCTCAGGTTTAGCATACAATTTCTTTTTAGATAATCTGTTGGATTTAAATGTAAGTGTACATACTAATGATAGTGAACTCTGATTAGATTTTATTTTTTTTATGACCGAGTCTCTTGTATTTGAAATAGAGGGTGTAGTACAAAGATAAATTAAATCAGGCAGTTTTGGGCACATTGTACTGGCTGTTTTCATGACAGTGCTAATCTGGTGTCATTTTATGGGTAATAAGAAGTGATAGTGTATGAGTGAAACTCCCTATACTCCCTGATACAATTGAAACATATTCTTTATTATTATAAACAGAGTTTTTTCTTACTTGCTGTACTAGTAACTGTAGCTTTGTTAACTAATGTCACAAATACATTTGTTATTTAAAATAGCAGCAGGGCTGATGTTTAATGATGCAATCCACACCAGTTTTGTCTTCTAGTTACTGTAATACAAATACTCCAACACTTACTGCCTTTATTTCTTCTGACTCCATTATTATGTGTTACTATAAGATTTTTGAAATACGGAAACCGAGAAAAGATGGCCCAGGAGCTGAAGTTTGGTGATATCGTGGAGCGACACCTTATAGATGGTGACATAGTCCTATTCAACCGACAACCCTCTCTTCATAAGCTGAGCATCATGGCTCACATTGTAAGTGCACACGCAGTCTAACGTACAGGTAGTGCATCCCTGAATACTAGGTGGTTTCCCTTTGCTGGTGTTTATCTCTTACACACACAAAAACAAACAGCTGCTTCTGAAACACTGCATGGGGACAAGCGTGAATACGGTGCAGTTGTGCTTTTGCACGGGAACTGATGTGTGACTGGGCAGTATGCTGTCTGGACAATTCTGTTAATAGCTGTAGTACACCTCAATATCTGTTCTTGCATAAGCATTTCATTTTTGTAGAGTTGATCTGATCTCTAGAAAGCATGTTGTGTTCTGTGCTTTGTATAAATTCTTCATAATGGAAGTTATTAGCTACATTTGTGTAATATAACTTGAGTACAATTTCTATCAGTTACTGGTTGAGTTAAATCCTATAATCAGAAATTTTGACTCGTGTCTGTAAGAAAAAGAAAAGATAAAGTCTACACGGAAACACTCAGGCATGACTTTTCATCTTTTAGCATGCTTGACTGCATGTGCATCTTTTTTGGGTTTTTGTTTCCTCTTCTCCCAGGCTAAAGTAAAACCTCATAGGACATTCAGATTTAATGAATGTGTCTGTACACCGTACAATGCCGACTTTGACGGAGATGAGATGAACCTTCACCTTCCTCAGACAGAAGAAGCAAAAGCAGAAGCACTTGTTTTAATGGGGGTAGGTAGATAATATTGGTCCTGTGATTTTGCTAGTGACAGATGGGCTGAACCCTCTACTTAACTTGCACGTGAAATCTGAAATATTATCAGTATTTGTGGGTATGGATAGTGTGCAACTTTGAATCTGCCTGAAAACTCTGCAAAAGGGAATTCAGAATAAATTAGGACTGTTATGCAGTGGTGGTCTAATAGACTTATATTTAGCATCTAGAAAACTCAGTGGTTTTAAGTAAGTAGATATCATTGGTATGTTTCTGCCTGACTGTCCTTAGTGGTTCCTACCAAAATAGGGTTGCTGTGTTACCAAACATACGTACTTTGCTTTCTGGTCTGATAGCCCAGCATCTGCAGATGTCAGACCAATTGGAAATGAGGCAGCAATAGTGTGCTTGTACTGGAGAAGGCAGTTTATCAGAGAAGGCAGGAGACAGTAGGCAGGGAGGAAAAAAGGGAGAAGAGAGGGTAGATAAGAGGGATCTGATGGTTCCAGACATTGATCTGTGGTGTAAAAGTAGTCAGTAGCATCAATCTGAGACTTTTCCAGTATATGGCTCCTTTAGGGTGACTGAATGCCACTGCTACTTCAGATGTACCACCACATGTCTTGGTTTGAAAGACAGGTGTCTGTGGAGGAAGACAGGAGCCTCCCTTGAAATGGAAAGTGCAACCCCCTTCCCTCCAAATTAATATAATTTTGAAATTAACGGGCCTTCAGGCAAAGATATGGGGAATAGGAATAACAATTCTTTACTAATATATATATGTATATATATAACACAAGGCAGGAAAAAAAAAACCCACACTGGTTTACACTGACATACAACCTGACACCCTGTTAGAGTGGCAGT